TAGGTGCTGGTCCTCAAATCGATGGCTATTGCAAAACACATAGCCACAACGACACTCCATAGCAGTGAGTCCCACTTTCTTCTTACACTCCCAGCAGCGTTTTTGTTCTTTTGTACTAATTTCTCCACACATTCTATTTCCTGTAATAACATTGTCTTGCTTTTCCTTATCTCCTCAACAAAAGACGGAGCAGCAGTAGAAGTAGTTGACGTAGCAGCAACAGTAGTAGTAGTAGTAGTAGCAGTACAAGTCGGCTCTACTGAAACCAACTCATTCATCTTCATCTCCATTGAACGACGTGATGTCAACGTTGTCTCTACTTGGCGATCAGACATGGTCTTTTTCCAACAGACGGAACACATTCCACCGCTGCCTGGGGCACCAAAAAAGCCACAACCATTTAGACACAACTCGCCGCTTTCTCGCTCTTGCTGCATTTTCATATAAAGTTGAAATGTGAGGAAATGAAAGAGAGAAGCGAAAATGACCGTTTCTATTGTCGAGAATATTACTCTTCACTTTACTATAGTTGGAAATAGTGCCTAAATTTCCTTCACAGTCACTTGGTTTACTTACTTTTTACCAAGTGAAATGATGAATGTTTGTTTGTCTTTTTCCCTCCCTTCGATGTCTTTTCTTTGTCGCAGCCCCATCTTTAAATACTTTGTTTTGATAGAGCACACAGACCCTACCCTCGTCTTGGTCGGCAAAATTGTATTTCAATTTCCACGAATAAGAGCAAGTCATTCCTGTGAGTGAAACACACACTTCAATTGAACGAAATAGCAGGGGGCCCGATTTTCCTACAAGGAGTAGTCAAAATCATGTGGTTTGGGCCATCTTAATTGTTTCTCATCCAAACGTTGGGCGATGTCTCCAATGCGGCAACATTGGACACCCAATTGCGCGTTGCAGTTTCTCTGACGCTCAACTACGGGGGCCTGGGGTCATCGTCGTTGCGGAACAGGATATCGTCGATCTAGGCGACGCCGCACGTCCTTTCGCGAGCCTTCAAGAACTTAGGGACACGGTGCGCGTCCGTATTGCCGACCACCGCCTGGCACAGGCGTCCTAAGCACATCGGACACTCAGGCGTCTACTTCTCCACCACTTTCAGGTCTGCAGGACTCCAATAGAGAGCAGCAGCGAATTCCAAAACCAGTGAATCGGGTAGAAGGCATATTACCGCCCGGCGTTGATATACAACCAGAACCCAGGGAGCTATAGCCGTGGATTACCCACAGAGCGCAAAAAAAGGGACGGTCTCTCCAGCGACGCGCCTTAAAACCTTCGCCAAGCAGTGGAAATGTCACTCCTCGGGTGGCAACCGGCGAACACCCAACACCGCCACCCCAAACGGCCCCATCACCCGCATTGCCAAGCAGTTCAGGTGTTTCCCGCGTCGCAACCGGGGAAACGGTCACTCCGGCGCAGCCGCGCCTATCTTTAGCTGAGGAGCAAATTCGTGTGACAGGTCTGGCGCGAGGACAGCCTCCACAAGTCCAAGGGCATCTTCTGCTTAGTCGTCAGACAAAATCTAGGGCTAAGTTTTCGAAATTGATGCAGGCAAGTCGCGTCGGCCCCTCGGCAGTAGTGTCCCCCGGACCCATGCTAACTCAAGTGTCTCAGACGTTTGCAGCGGCAATGGACAGCTTAGGGCTGCGGGAGGTAGCAACGCCGGCTTCCGGCAATTGCTTTGCCATGGCAATCGTGCAAGGAGCAACTAATAAAGACCTTGCAGAGCCAACGTCGAAGCTTAAACAGCTCACGGCAACCCTCAAAACCGGGGTCAAGGAGGTTGGACTCTTAATATAGGAGACCGCATACCGCATGACATTCGCGTCGCGATGCTTCGAAATGTTAATCGTGCGTGGCCAACCATGACGTGGCGGGAATCTCTTGGCAACTCAAATGGTTTTTCGAGGACTACGCGTCCAATCCTTCCGAACGAGAAGCGGTCGTCGCAGACAACACGTGGGGAGGTAATGACGTCATTGGACTAGCGGCAATGTTCCTCCGTCGGAGCATTTACGTGCTCGAATTAGAGGATACGCGTGCCAACCCCTGGAGCTGTCGGCAGTTTGAGCCAGCAGTGCTATACATTAGAGCGAAAAGCATTGCTTCGTTCACCGAGAGACCGCTGGACATCTTAGAATGCCTCAATGCCATCAGGGCGGATATTATCGACTCTTCAGCTCCTCCCATTGTCCTTCGGTACTAGGGTCGGCATTACTCGGCTGCCGTTCCTCGACTGACAACATTGGAGGAACAAACAATTCATCACAACGCCATCTTGCTCAAGGAAACGGCTTAGCAGGTTGCAGAAGATCCACTGAACGAAACTTTCCTGACTGGTGATCTCGCCCTGCTTCCAGATGGATCAAAGCAGTTGTTGCTGCTTGAAAGTAACGCGGCCAACGCCACGATAAACACTGCTATCATCACTTCTGGCACCTCCCGCACACAGGCAGACTACGAGACGCCGCCTCCGATACTCTGCGCCGCTGAGAGGCAATTGCGTAAGCGTACCCATTTAGCCGTGCCTGACGTTTGCGTTCAGGATGGAGTGGCCGTGAAAAACATCCATACCGGGGCTTTGCTCAAAAAATGGAAACCGGAGGAACACGCGCTTGTTCCATATCTAAACTGGGAGGATGAACTAATGGGCGACTCTGCGCAGCATTGGACGTCGAATGGAACAGCGGAAGAGTCCGATGGCCGACAACGGCAAGCGTCCTGTGTCCATTAGTGGAAAGCGGAACCGCTATTTGGGCAGTGGCGGCAGCGGCGGAACCGCAAATGTTACTTCATCAATTTTAATTCTTCAAGTTCCCCGGTAAACTCATCAACTCTCTCGCAGACTCAATTAATCGTTCAGTGGACAGAGACATGGCGGAGGGACTGTCTGCAGGACTGCATAGCGCGTTACAGGGCAAAGTGTACGTCAAAAGTGACGCGGGTTTGGCTGGATCATTGGATGCAGCAGATCAATATTTTGAAAGGGCGGAAGGTCGCGGATAACACCGACTTTCGGAAACGCATCCGTGTCAAGAAATATGGGAATGACGATCTTTTTCGGCTGTGCGATCCAATTCGGCGGGTGAAATTGAGTCATCATATTTTGTGCGATCCAATTCGGCAGGTGAAATTGAGTCATCATATTTTGTGCGCTCATCTGTATCATGTCGAAATTGGAGAACTTTTATCGATAACTGACCCGGGGGCTAGCTCCTGGCCAGTCATGGAGACCCATGTTCAGCTCCTGCAACGGGATGCGCACTATAAATCCTGTTACAATGGGGGCGGGACACAGGCTAATTGGGTCAGTATTGCGCTCTTTTTTGAATCCGCCTTCGAGAAGCCAATGGTAATCGACGGCACTGACTACTAAGAGCAGCCCTAAGATCACGGCTCGGTCATCGCTTCCAACTGCAAGCGGGGATACAGCCGACGCGTACGGTCTACACATGCAAGATAGACTGATGTTCCAGACCTCAATCGCGTTCTCGGCGAGAGGTTTCAACAGCTACGACCCAAAAGATACTTACGCAGAATCTACGCAATTTTTCTTGCAAATCTCGTCCAATATGGTTGGCAGCATGGCGGAATCTGCCACGTAGAACGCGACCGGATATTTGGTGTCAGCAAGAAACCCGTCGCCTTTCAGGAGGAAGCGGAGGCATTAGATCGTGAGTGGAGACGGCTTTGGGGACACTCCACGGTCGATTCAGCGTCACCTCTTTCTTACTGGAGTTTAGGGACGCGCAACGCCGGCGGTGTGGCTATTCTTCTAACACCGGACATGGCCCAGTTGGCACAACCATGGCCTGGACGCCGAGGCAAATTGCGGTATCTGTTCAGGACAATGTTCTGCTTGTTAACGTTTACGCACTTAACGTACGGGCGAAAAGAGAATTGTTTTTCGAGGGGCTGAAAGCGCTGCCGCGGTCCCTCTTGAGATTCGCGTAGTGTTTGTACACCCAGTTCATAACTTCTTCATTGTACAATACGACCCTAAGACACCTCCCAGTCATTCTAACCGGAGATTTTAACTGCGTCCAACATCCCTCGCTCGACCGGCTGGGGATACTTCGACTAGTCGCACTAAAAGTCCAGCTTTGGATACCCTCACTGACATGTGTCAGCTAGTCAACGCGCTGGATTTAGTTCCTTACCCGGACGACGCCCTGGAGTGGGAGCCATCAACCCACTTCACGTATTGGGCGGGGTCAGCTGCCAGTAGAATCGATCGTTTCTACGTATCCCACACCTGGGGGGACCGAGTGCAATATTTGGAGGCAATTTTTCTCCGTCAGCTTCGGATCACCAGCAAGTCACCTTGCATATCTTGTCTTGGAAACGAGGCCGGCACCGTCTTCCCGGTAAAGTTGCGTACCCTATACGTTCTGCAATCCCGGACGGCACCGTCGCCGAACTCATCGAGTGCCTCACAAACAGTGGCATTACTGAGTTATCCACGGTATTGACCTGGGATCACGGCGTCCGCCGCGTCCGCCAGAAAATCACAACTATCACCCGCAGGCTAAGGCAACGGCGGACACGGTACATCGCCAAGCTGCGACGGCGAGCGCGACGCAGGCCCACTGCTTACCCGACAGGCCTGACATACAGCTCAATCTGAGGATCAATAGGAGGCCCACATCAGCCGGGTTGGCTTGGTTCTCCAACGCACAACGGACAAACTTCGCGCAAAGTTCAAACGAGTATCGGACTGGGAGCGTGATCAAAGTGTTACTGCTATTAGGAAACTCCACGGTAACCCGTTCCTAGTCGATTGCAGCGTCGCAGACAAGTTTAGCTCTGAATGGGATCATGTGCTGGGGACCAGCCACCGTACAGTCCCGGTCACTGAGCTGCGTTCGGCTTTGCAGCGATTTGTCACTCTCCCCTCTGATCGCATTGTCACAACGCCGAAAACCGTGCCCTGACGGCTGCTATAACGGAAGCAGAGGTGGTACTCGCAATACGGGCTCTCAGTAGGCATAAAGCCCCCGGAACCGACGGCCTAGGGAATGATTTTTACAAGGATCTTGAATCCCTGTTGGTACCCCGTTGATGGTTATAGCTAATGAGATCATCCACGGTCACGACCACCTAAATCGTTCATGGAAGCGCTCATTATCCTGCTACGTAAGAAAGGGGATTCCGACGACGTCATGGGCTATGGACCAATTTTCCTGTTGCAAACGGGATACAAGGTAATCGCGAAGGTCTTGGCGACGCGTATGCAGCAGTGTTTGCCCCATGTCATCAACTCTTCTCAACAAGGTTTTGTTCACGGACGACAAATGCAAAAGACGTTGTCGATGATGCTCGCTCACCTCCAAAGAGCACGTGAGGAGAATGCTTTGAACGCCGACGCCAGCCGTGCCATCGTTTTACTGGATTTTCGAAAAACCTACAATACGATCGACCG